TACAAACTTTATTTGGTAGTGAAACAGGCCTCTGAAGGTGTTGATGTTGCACCGGGATGATATACAGGCATACGGATCTAATCTAATTTCATATCAAAACCACATAAATTGCATCCAACTTATGGTGATCCTATTTTGCAATTTGGACGTAGTCTGACGTGATACATAATTTTACGCAATCATTTGAAATCAACGGCGTCTTTTATGTGCGCTTAATTAAGCAAAACTAGTCATAAGCCCCGAATCTTGTGTAGAATTGGATGTTTTTTTATAACTGTAAGGATGACAGGATCTTTGTGATTTGTGATAAATACAAAGGCGAGGACTTCAGCTAGCGCGTTATTTATGAGCGCTATTTTGGCTCAATCGGTAAGGTACGACTGCAACGACAACTGCACGGCAGCTACGTTCCATGCGAGCCGCCCCAGTGCGACAGCTACTGCCCCACCCGCTCCACACAGCCGACTGACCGGCCAAGGTCCGCCGGGAGGGCGGAGCCTAGTGGTCACGTGTTCGTGACGTCACGCCTACGCACGGATAGCCTCTACTCCACTGACAGATTTACGGAGCAGATTTTAACATTACGATTTACGAGACGACGACAAGTACCCTAAAATTTGATATTTTGTTAAAGGGACTGTCCCACCTTTGCATTAGTTCTGAGTTGAGATAGCCAAGTTGGCGGCCAGGTTCAGAAACCACTATATATCCTGGTTGCAATCAGGGGCGGTGGATTCGGGGGGGGGGCAGGGGGGGGGGGCAGCTGCCCCCCTTGGCAAACTCGTGGGGGGGGGCAAAAGTATCTTTTTGCCCCCCCCCCCATAATTTGTGACAAAGCTTAGACAAGAAACCATGTACCTGATTATTCTGTTCGATCATCTGAAGATGTAACCAGATGCCCATAACTTTATCATACGTTGCCTTTCTTAAATGGCAAGCGTTCACGTTCATTTGAAGTTTTCCTATCTTCAACCTAGTTTTGGAGGCTTTATAAGCGTCAACGTGACGCAGCGGAAACCCAGGCCTTCAGTGACCGCTTCAGGAGCGACGGATACGGAGTGGCAGAGGAGGCATCGTTCCCTAAGAAACTTTTGGAGGAGGGGCAAACGTATATTCTTGCCCCTCCATATTGTGCACTAAACATGAGGAAAATTTCCATAACCTGATATTGCAGCTATGCGCTCCTACAGTTTGTCCAACGGTGCCTTTTGAATATGTGTAAATGCTAACCATTTCCGCTTTATATCATTTTGTTTTTGTCTTTTCAGATTCGATTTATAGATGTGTGCAAGAGACGCAACTCATACCTTCAGTGGTCGTTTGCCTCTATTTTGTACCTACATAAATGCCAAATCGCAAGCGAGCGGAGACGGAATGGCTAGCCATTCGCTTGCGGGTAGTTAGGACTGATGAGCGCTCATAATAAGCCACTCCCCTGATTTCTTCGAGCGCAACAGTTTCCAGCGCATAAAATGGTAAACGCCGAGGTCGTACACATTGACGACATTGACCAATGCACGGTATGGTATGACACCCAAAGGCCAGTCATCAGAGATCTGCTTTGGGCATTCGGAGGCTTGTGTGGGGCCAGTGTAAAAACTGGATGCTCACAGTTCAGTATCCGCTTTATTTCAGTTTTCACTATTAAAAAAGTAAAAATTAGTGTTGGAAACTTTTGAGGGTTAGGGCACTGATCATTAGTGGGACCCCCTCTGTCTAAAGGCTGACTATAAAGAGTTAGAATTAAGAATTATTATATAGTTAGTTAGTTATAATATAGTTGTATTATATAGTTAGAATAGTTAGAATTATTATTAAAGTGAGAATAAAGAGCATCAAACACGAACAGTAGCGGCGGAACACCTTCAATTAAGGGCCTGCCGACTTTTGGTCCCATTCTTTCCATGCAACGCCCATAGCGCTAACGTTAAAATGCCAAAATCAAAGGGGGCACGGTGCCCCGGTGCCCTCCCCGTTCCGCCGCCTATGAACACGAAAGCGAAATCTGAGGCATTTTGGAAAAATGAGTATGCCCCGCAGCGTCCGATAACTACCACCTTCCGGTGGGTCAAGCCAACGGGGCCCAAGGCTATAATGGCACTTTTATAACGATAGCACTAACCTTGTCTCACTTTTTGTTGAAGTCTGTTCCGAATGGTTTCGGCGACAGACTGGCTGCACTGAGGTATGTGCAACTTTAATTAAAGCCACCTGAGGCACCCTGACACCAGGCTGAATCTGGGTTGGAAATGCTCTTGCAGATATCACTGGCCGCTGATTCTCGAGTGCCTGAATCGGTAGATGTCGTGGCAAAATTTGGTGTGATAATTTGGACCTTACCGCAGTCAGCGCACCCTCAAAGAAACGCCCTACCCAGAGCTTCTGGATTCTCGTTTCAGTCCACCGTTCCTTCACCCCAGCCCACCGCCACGCTCCCTCACCTCAGCCCTCCGTTCCCAGCTTGACGAGCATTTGGGCCTTAGTTAAGCCTTGCTGTAGGCTAACTGTATAAACCCATCGAGACAGCCCGTCTCGGTGGGCTTAGTTGGCGAGCTACTGCCTTGGGGAGGGTTTCTGGCGGATCGCTGTCCCAATAGGTTTAGATGCGACCGACTGTCTCTGAATGTTTGAGCGGTCTCCTCCCGCTGTGAGCTAGTTGATATCTGTCTCAGAAATACTTTTTAAAACCCGCGCCCCGTAGGGGGGGGCCGAAACGGCCCCCCCTGTCCTTTTCGGTCGATATCTCCTAAACGGCTGGAGATATCGCCACCAAACTTTCAGGACCCCTCCGGGCATCAATTTTACACATTGTGACCAAAAATTTTTCCAGAGGCTATGATAGGTTGGCCACAAATGACGTCAGAGTGACGTCATGTTCTGTCATTTTCGACCGAAAAAAGACCTTCGCGAGAAGACCTGTCGGGACTACAGCTTTGAAGATACAGAAAAATGATCAAGACATAAAAGGTGTAGAATTGACAGGGCTACAAAACTGCTATCTCGAATTTTTGAAATTTTTTAGTTTTGACCCCAAAAAATCAAAAAAGCATTTTTTGGATATATTCGCCAAAAAATCCAAAAAGTTTTTTGAGTTTCGAAAAAACCGGAATATATGTGATAGTGCCTACCGTCTTCTATCTACATACCAAATTTCAGATCGATACCTCGTTTTTTGGCCAAGTTATAGCGAAAAAACTGTTCAAAAATGATGACGTCAAATTTTCAAACTCAATTTTTGGCAATTCTAGAACTCGTAGAGCAAAACGAAGACCACCATTAGACTCCCCGTGACGAGCTGCATCGAATCGATACCCATTTTATGCAAAAATATCAACTTTGAAATTTGACCTAATTTGACCTGACCTTGACCTGACCTTCACCAAAACGTGACTTAGGCTGGCCCCAAAGGCTGCCTAACCCACATAATCGCATTTGTCATGTAAAATGGACCATAAAACATGTATCACACGACACATTCATATTGTGACCCCCGGTGACCTGACCTCGCTGTGACCTGACCTGGTATCAGTGACCTCAGATAGCAAATTATGTGTTTGACGAACAATGTACCATCGATGGTTTTCAATAAATTACCAATTTACTCGCTTTCACAGCACATTTCTTGAATTGCCTGTGAACGGTGAAAATCTGACCTTTGACCTGACCTGTGACGTCATCGGTTTGACCTAGGTCAATGAAATTTGGTCACAAGGTAGTTCCCGGGTGGGGCTATCGAACGCCGTTTGAATTTTGAAAATCGGCCGGTAACTTTCCGAGATCTTAGGGGGGGGCCGAAACGGCCCCCCCCCCCTACGGGTGGTAGGGTCCGCCGGTAGCCCTACGGGGCGCGGGTTAAAGGAAGGTTAAACGGAAATCGAACGTAAAATGAACAGAGGAAATGCTAACGAGTTACCTCATTGAAGGAAAGCGCTCGCCTACTTCAAAAGGTTTGGAACCGTTCTTCAACATCTAATATGCGATCGGGTTATGGCACAACTTTTCCCATTGAAACTTTTTTTCTAATACAGCAATACGAAAAGCGTTACATCGTCCACTGGCGGATCCAGGGAGCGGGCATTTAAAGCAAATATTTGCTCTCCCTCCCCTGGCCCCTGCATCGCCCGAAATAGACAAAGCGTACCTTATGTTTCCTAATAATAACACTTTTATCAGGATTTTTTTTATTTTTTGCTTTATACTGTTCAGCAGTAGATCCGTAAGGAATCGGAATCCGAGGAGTTTTTGGATTTGGGACACTTTTTCGGGGGGTATGTCCCCTACAGTGTCGGAAACGTCTTTCTGGATCCGCCTATGACATCATCTCGACTGGGATCTTGCCCCCCCATGCCAAAATCGAATCCGCCGCCACTGGTTGCAATATCCTCAGTTTCGTGGTGTTAAAGAAATTCGTTCCCTTCATTTGAAAAGTGGGCCTTAGCTAAGGCCCTATATCTTAACTATTAACGGCCATTTGATGACGTCATTACTCATTTGCCTTTTGAACGCCTGTCACACATTCAAGTGAAGTATCACTTGATTTACGAATAAACCAATCAGAGACACTCTTGTTATTGTATGAGCCGTGTCATATTTGAGAGCAAATATATTAGTGCTGCCAAATTTCCCCTCACATTGACATGAAGTAAATCCTTCATTACGTCACAGATTCGATATAAATGACATCACGATGAAATATGAAAGTCGCAATATCTCAAAAAGTATACGATGAAAACGCGTAAAAACTTGCAGAATTCGTCAAAATATCATGAGTAACATTTCCGTGTCCTAAACGGTACTTTTTTGAAGGTGGGATAGTCCCTTTAAGTAACCATGTTGACGAAAATCGGCGCCCGAGATGAAATATGATTTGTGAAAAGTTGAAGCCAATCGGACAAGTATTAAAGAAATGATCGCCGGAAAGCAGGGTCCATAGGGTCTGAAATCAAATTGTAGATCTTATGAGAATGCCGGTGGCCACCGAGCACTCAGCGCGTCCTTACTTGCGAAGAGTCCGGCTGTGGCAGGGCGGCTGGCTGGCAGCTGGTGCTCGGGCGGCGGCGCGTCCACAGTGCGCTGCGCCGGCTCGGCTGGCTGGCTGGGGCCCTGGGCGGAGGCCGGCGGGTCCGGACCGGCCCCGGAGGCCTCCAGCGCCGCCTCCGGGACGGCTCCGGCTCCGGCTCCGGCTCCGACGACCAGCAGCAGTAGCAGCAGCCGGGCGGCGCCCATGGTGTGAGTCAGCCCGAGTGGGCTCACTGGCTCGGCGTCTCGGTGCTGCGCTGTGACGTCACAGCCGCCCACCTGCGCGGCGGCGCAGTGACCCGATTGTTACCGGATGTGTCATGGCGGCCGGCGCCAGAGACAGACAGACAGACAGACAGACAAACAGACAGACAGACAGACAGTCGGGTGTCGGTCCGAGTTACCGAAGGATCTGTTCCAGTCGCACTTCCTAACACTTCTAAACTCCTCCAAGAGCAGGATAGAGGAGGTTGGAGCAGGGCCCTCCTTGGCTTTGTAGGGGCTAGAGCTGCCACTGGAACGGGAAGCAATCTTGGAGGAGTTTAGAGGTGTTAGGAAGTGCGACTGGAACAGACCCTGGGTATGTGTGGAACTATACCCAGCGCCGAGCCGGCCGTATGACGTCACACCACGGCCAGTGCCGGCGCGGCGGCAGACGGGCCGAGATTGGCATGGTCTTAACCCGCGCACCGACGGGGGTCTGCGCCAACTTCGCACCGGCGGGGGGGGGGGGGGCCTGAGATCTCGAGAACGAAGCAAGATAGCGACAAGCGGTAAACGGCATCGGATACGCACGGACAAGGTCTACAATTTTTACTAAGGTCATTTTTAGGTCAGGTCAAAGATGACGTCACAGGGGTCGAAAAATTCAAAATGGCGGCACTAGATATGAAGAGAGTTTTTCTCGAATAACTTTCGAATTAGTCAAGATAGGAACAAACTAAGGGCATCATCGTGATCCTCTTGTCAATCCGCATCGAATGATATATAAGTTGACCTCGAAAGGTAAAGGTCAAATGTTGACCTCAGGTCACGTGACCTCGAGGTCATCATGTATAACAGTCGATGTGTCTTGACGAGCTGAACACAATGAGACCATCCGCACGGCTGTATCTTGTTCCTGTACGGAGTTATTGGTCAAAAACCTTTGGTGACCTTTGATGACGTCATATGAACTTACAGCTGCCCAACAGCAAAACAGACCTCAAAGTAGTGAGGGTTGATCGTATATGAAGTCATGTATGGTATATGGGGCCATTCCGACCCGTTTTAGTGGTAAAAACAGGGAGTTGATTTTTCCCCCCATTGACTTATAATGGGGAGGTCGCGAAATTGACCTGACCTTAGGTCACCGACATCAAAATTCCGAGATATACAAATTGTAGCTACTAATGACCTAATAACATCCTGCGACTTTCAAAGGCCTCCGACATCTACTGTAGCTCTGGCACGGTGACAAAGTTGCAAAAAAGGGACTTGAGGTTGGGTCATTCGAAGTGACCTGGTGACCTGACCTTAAAAGGCAGGAGGTTCAAACTTGCACACCATGTGTAAAATTGATGAGGGAATAGTCGTACCAAATTTCGCGGCGCTACGCGCCGTGGTTTTCCGGCTATCCGCGAAAAACCTTAGGGGGTGGCGGATATCCGCCCTCCCTGAGGTTTTTCGCGAATAGCCGCGGCGCGTAGCGCCGCGAAATTTGGTACGACTATTCCCTCATCAATTTTACACATGGTGTGCAAGTTTGAACCTCCTACCTTTTAAGGTCAGGTCACCAGCTCACTTTGAATGACCCAACCTCAAGTCACTTTTTTGCAATTTTGTCACCGTGCCAGAGCTACAGCAGATGTCGGAGGCCTTTGAAAGTAGCAGGATGTTATAAGGTCATTAGTAGCTACAATTTGTTCATCTCGGAATTTTGATATCGGTGACCTAAGGTCAGGTCAATTTCGCGACCTCCCCATTATAAGTCAATGGGGGAAAAATCAACTCCCTGTTTTTACCACTAAAACGGGTCGGAATGGCCCCATATACCATACATGACTTCATATACGATCAACCTTCACTACCTTGAGGTCTGTTTTGCTGTTGGGCAGCTGTAAGGTCATGTGACGTCATCAAAGGTCACCAAAGGTTTTTGGCCAATAACTCCGTACAGGAACAAGATACAGCCGCGTAGATGGTCTCATTGTGTTCAGCTCGTCAAGACGCATCGAATGATATACACGATGACCTCGAGGTCAGGTCAACCTTTCGAGGTCAACATACATATATATCATTCGATGCGGATTGACGAGAGGATCACGATGATGCCCTTAGTTTGTTCCTATCTTGACTAATTCGAAAGTTATTCGAGAAAAACTCTCCATATCTAGCGCCGCCATTTTGACTTTTTCGACCCCTGTGACGTCATCTTTAACCTGACCTGAAAATGACCTTAGTAAAAATTGTAGATCTTGACCGTGCGTATCCGATGCCGTTTACTGCTTGTCGCTATCTTGCTTCGTTCTCGAGATCTCAGGAGGGGGCGGTCATCCGCCCCCCCCCGTCGGTGCGAAGTTGGCGCATACCCCCGTCGGTGCGCGTGTTAACCCTCGCCCATGTAGGGGGGGGTTGGTGCAACCCCCCCCCTGAGGTTTTTCGGAAATAGTGCAAAAACGGCGGCGCGCAGCGCCGCCAAATTTTGGGTACCTTATGGGGCAAACCTTGCGCATCTTTTGATGAAAAAAATTTGACCGGGTCATGTCAGGTCACGGAGTTATGACGTCACAAAGGGAACAGCCTCCGGCCGGATTTTCACAAACTGAGTGCCAACGCCCGAGGTTTCCTGCCGGTGGTACGGACATCGGTTGATGGATCGTGATGAAACTTCCCATGCATGTTGGGGCAAGTATTGGCTATCATATGGTATAAGAAACTTGACCGGGTCAGGTCAGGTCACGGAGCTATGACGTCACAAGAGGAACAGCGTCCGGTACTATTTTTGAAAAGCGCCCGAACCACTATTTTGCTAATTCTTGTCACCTCAATGGGAATATGCAGCAATATTAGCTTCTATAGGGAGCAAATGGACCTTGCAAATCCAAAAATACAATCAGATTTCAAAAATTTAAATTTTGATTTTTCGAATTTCTGCCGCCGACTGTGACCTTGCCGACTTCCGGCGCTCCCAACGCGCCATTTTTAGAGCTAGGGAAACGAAATACATACCAAACGATAGAGAATTGATCAAGGAACACGATAGTGAAGGTTTCAAGTCGATATCTCCCACCGTTTTGCCGCAATCGCCGCGGAAAGTTGAAAAAAGTCTATTTTTCCGAAAATTTGACCTTTGACCGGTCAAAAGTAGGTCAAATGTTGACCTAGGACCAAAAAATATACCACCAATCGCGAGATCTCGGCGAGAGAAATCCGTTGGTCTTTTCCGCTAAGCTCTACGACGCTCCGTTTTCAAACGCCAAGGGGGGGGGGTCGCACCAACCCCCCCCCCCCCCCTGCATGGGCGAAGGTGGCAGATCGCCGTTTACGGGCGAGGGTTAACTTTTGGCGAAGAGGCATCAGACGCCAAACTTCTGCTGCAGCTATTAATCACATTTCATTTCAGCGCATTGTGTTTCTTACATTTGAGTGAGCTACCAAATCTATGTTTTCAAATATAACCTTTTGTTCAATGATTGCGAAATGCAAAAGGTTCCAAAATTAATTACAAAATGAATATATTTCGGACACTGTCCTTCTTCAGTTCAGAATTGCAAATGAGCTACCAAATCCTTCAAATACCTAATGTGTAGGTGAGCGTACTTACCTGCATTTAGTGTGCGCTATGCTATGCGCGGATTGAAAATTGGAGGCACATCAGACACGCTGCGCAATGGATCCTGGTATTGCTTGGTTGATTCTGGATTTATGGCTTCGCACAAACTATTGAAAGGGAGCATAGGCGGCGGAACGGGGAGGGCACCGGGGCACCGTGCCCCCCTTTGATTTTGGCATTTTAACATTAGCCCTATGGGCGTTGCATGGAAAGAATGGGACCAAAAGTCGGTAGTGCCCCCTTTAATTGAAGGTGTTCCGCCGCTACTGAAAGGGAGCCGAGGACGTCATTTTTGAAGGTTGTTAGGTGCACTCAAACGTTAAAAGGTAAGCAACTGCCCATTGAATTTCTGGCGAGTGGTGGTGGAAATGGAACGTTCTGTTCACAAATGAGTATGTACCTACCTGCAATGGCAAATAACTGGGTCGCGGTCAATTTGGCATGATCCACGAAGTCCCTAATCTTTTATTACATTTGAGCCCTTAAAATGTGCACCATATCAACATATGCGCATTTTCGCGTTGTATCGGTTAGCAAATGAGAAAATCTGCAACTTCTCGACAGCCTTTCAAGATTCAAGAAACCTTTCTTTTCCATATTGCATTCCAGAACATAATTTTCAACCATGGGTATCCTCCCCATAAAAAAACTGAAGCAGTTTCCTTCGGCTCCAATGCGCCGCTCGCCCAGGGCATGGATAACTAGCATGGATTGGCAACTCCGGCCATTTCCCATTGTTCCCCGCGACCACGCAGAAACAGCGCCATCTATGATCAGGTTTCTCGACCGGGAGGAGACCGGGGCGCTGCCGCACGGGCACGGCCGACGATGCGTGAATGGTGACCATACTACTTTGTGAGTGAAATAAGATGTCCCATACGTATAGCATCGTAATAAAATAGTGAGCCTTTTGCCAAACAATGCGAAATAGGACAGCATCAAGGAACACCAGAGCTGTGGGAATCGGTTGAAACCTCCACATCGGGGGCAGGCCTGCGGCCGCGGGTTCGGTACCCAACCCTTAAAGGGACCCTCCCACCTTCAAAAAACTTTATGAATTGGCATGAAAGTGATGTCGCTCGGCTCAGAAAGAGCGAAAACGAATATCTACCAAATTTCACCGAAAAATATTCACCGGTTTTCAAGATATTAGACTTTTACTTTTGTTTACTTTTTTGGTATCTCCGCTGTTTCTAGCGACTTTATTTTAGAAGTGCGGCGTTTGCGGCAGATGTTGCGCGCAAATAGCATATACCACCGCGTGCTACAAAACGTTTTAGTCAAACATTTAAAAATCGTTAGATATTTCCGCTGACGTCACACATTCAGAGGGGTATTCCTAACCATTAGCCCCTCTGAATCAAAATGCTGCAATTTTGAAATTCAATATTTCCGATTTAAGGCATTTCTCGATGTTGTGAGTGCCGAAACCGGTAATTGTGAGCCAGGGACCCCATTTTGGCTA